CATTTTCCTTCAACAGGAATAATCAAGATTGGAGAGATTGCTTCTCATCGTTCATGCCCTTCTATAGAAAAATAGCAAAAAATAAAGAGTATTGCTTCTGTAAGATAGATAGTTATCTCTGAGTAGGACATATTGTATTTAAATTGGTCCTTTAGAACCCTTGTTTTTTTCCCTTTGACTCTTTCTTTTGCTTAATTCATGCTTGTCACTTTCTTTGAGAATTAACTTAAATCCAATTCCTTACAAAAGCTTTTCTATGATTTCCTCTACGCGATTCTAAACACCCTTCAGTGTACATAGGAGATTTTGGCTCTATTGTTTAGCCTTTGTGCAGAGTCAGATTTACAGAATGTTAGAGTCAAAAAGGCCTCTGCACTCAGCCAGCTCAGTGCCCTCATTTCCTGATGAAGAGGATGAAGAGAATGAGCCAGGTCCTGGTTACACAGCTGGTCAGCCTCTGAGCCAGAATTATGACCCAGGGCACTTCATAACCTTCTGTTTTGTAGTTGCTTGGTTGCTTCGTGTGTGTGCGCGTGTGCGCGTGTGTGTGTGCATGTGTGTGTGTGTTTGGTTTCCCAGCTAGGAGATTTGTTGTCAGGGACCTAGCCTTTTTCCACCATCCAAGGATTCTTCCTCACTTTCGTGTCCAGAGTAGGCACACTGGAATGCTTGGGAGCCGGCCTGCTGGAAACAGATGCCAGTGGCGTACAGCTATCCTTTGGTTTAATACTATTTTTAAAGCGTCTCCAATTTTTATTTTCATATCTACAGCATATTTCTTTTATCTCATCTATTAGCAAAACTGATTAGCATTCTGTATTATTCAGGTTTTGTATTTTGATAGTTGTCCTGACATGGAGACAGAACTAAATACCTCTATATTAATTAGATGATTAAATACAATTCTATTTCCTGATTACTTGACATACTTAGTTGCAAGGTGATAAGTAGCAAGATCTGTATCTCAATATTTGATATGCCCTTCTATATTTTTTAAAAAAGAGTTATGTAGTACAGGAGAAGAGCTTACTTAGAACAGTGCCCCTGAAACCTGGCCATATATCATGATATGCCATCACCTCCTTCCACCACCACCATCTGAATTGGGACCTCTGAGGTTGGGGCCTGTGCATCTGTATGTTTAAAGAGCTCTACAGGTGGTTCTGAACGAGAGCCAAAGTAGAGAACTATTATTGGCTTAGAAGATCGGCATCATTCAGATGATGAAGGCCCCCTTTAAGAGAAAATTGCTCTATTGGGGAGGAGCACCTGTTGGATACGTAGGAGAGTCCTTCAAAGAATTGGTGGAAAAATGGAATTAAAAGATAGTATGAATCTTTCCATGGGTTTTTGAAGTCCCCTCTTATATAGAAATCTTGTAGGAAGGTACACACTGGTTTCATACATCACTGAAATCACCTGATTGCTTGTGGGCTATGTCCTTCTGGCCTACATAGTAGTTGAATCACAGCTACAAACCTTCATATATCCACAATGGAATTGATTAAACCAGGAGTGAGCTTTCTGCTTCTCAATTCTCGATTCAGAAGTGACACAGCAAACCTACTTTGAAACAGAAATCTGTTGTTAGAAACTGCCATTTGTTATCTTAATGACCCAACCAATTGAAAGTGGTAGGAAGGTTGGTTCTGTGTTTGGGCATCATGTTGCCCATATTACAATCGTCTATCAGTTAAATCCTGTTCTCTCTTCAGTGCACTTCTTCAGTGTTACGTGTAACTGCCCACCATTGATGAGGCTGCTGTGTGGGTATTCCATTACACTGAGTAAAGAATAAGGAGATATTAATAAAATATGTGCGCACATTAGAAAGTTGTAGAACAGTCAAGTGGTCACAGAAGTTTAGTTTATACAAGCGGAGAACTGGCAAAAGTCAGTTTAAATTATTTACTTGGAACCTTTTCTGAGCCTTGTTTTGGTCTGGGTGCTACGATTTATAGCAAGAGCCTGAGGCCAACTTTTGAGTCAAGACATTTAGTTTTCAAAGAAGGCAAAGTTGGATAGACTAATGATTGTGATTTAGTAGTAATTGTACATTATTTATTATTTCTTGAATATAATGAGTTAGAGAATGATAGTTTATCTTTGCCTTTTTTGACCTGAGCAGGATCTTCTAATTCTAGAATAGGAATTTATCTATCCTTATCTATCTAATTCTAGATAAGGAAACTTTAAAAAAAAAAAAAAGTGTCATAAATCATCCCTTCATAAACATTTAGAGCAGAAGAACTGTATTTTCCCTTGTAGTGGATTTCATAATTGTAAACCCATGTGTATATGGACCACATGGCATTTTGATTTATTCACGGGAGGGTTAAGAGGGTCTGTGTTTAGCACTCGAATACTATTGGATATGATTCAAATAGGAGTCAAGTGTGTCTAGAGGCTTTATTCATACCTATTTTCTTTTAGTCAGCAATGCTCCATAATGCCTTAGTTTCATGAATTAATTTTAATGGAATTAAACTTGAACAGCTCAAAATTATATAATTAATTTCATTCAGCTTCAATTAAAGTTACTAATTGAATGAAGCCTACTAGCATGACACCTGGCGGCAGTCAGCTACATAACAGTAGCAGCAAGTATGAAGGACTTAGCTGACGAGCTATTTCATGTGCACTGGTGAGTTTATATAAAAATCTCTTTTATTGATAATCTCAGGCCTTGAGTTGACTATAGCAGTGGAAGGATTTCTGGAGTTGTTTAAAAAAGTAAAGATGTTAATTGAAACTAACACATCTCATGAAGATTACATTTTCTCTATGATAATGCTGAGTAAATGTTACATAAATCTAGAACATACTGGTTTAGCATGTTTTTTTAATTTATATTTTACTGCTATTTGAATATGATTTTGCTTTCTAAAAATAGTCAGAATTTTTAGGAAGCAATACTTAGAAGATCCTTTTCTTCCAGAGATCTCATATTAGCCTCTGGACTTAGTCCTAAGTGGGTGTTCACTTACTTTTGTGTGTTGAAATATGTTTCATGACAGAACTTTTCAATCATTGTGAAATCCCCATGGCTCATGAGAAATTTTTGCATGTGCAGAAAATTTTTCCTTCCACTGGAAATGTTAACATGGTTGACTAACAACTTCTGTTTGAATCTCTTTCCTTTCTTGGCTTCCATGGCTTGACATCATCCAGTTTCTCTTCTCTAACTTCTTCCTAACTGTACAGACTCTTCTTGGTACTCTCCTTTTAATACGTTCACTCTTTCAATGAGCTCATTAATTTAAATGGGTTTAGCAATCAAGTTTAGGAAGATGACTGTTTCTAGCTATAACTTTTTTTCTGGCTTGCAAATTCAAATGTCCAATACTGAACCCATCCACTAGACTGTAAATTCCATGAAAGCCTGGGCTGCATCTCATAATTCAGTGTATTTCCATAGCCTAGCACAATGCCTAAACATTTACTATGTACAAATATATATTTTTTAAAAGAATAAATTATTCTCCTGTTCTCCAGGTTTTCCCAGTCACATCCAGACTGAGAACTCAGTCATCTCCAACCCCATTTTCCTTGATTCCAGGAATAACCAACTTCTAGTTTGTTTCTCACATTTACCCCCTTTCCATCATCTTATCCAGTTAATTAAACTCTCATCAAATTCTATATGGACTTTGCTAAATCTCCCTTTTAGTTTCCCTTCCTCTATATTCCCTATTAGATGTATCCATACTCCACTGATTCTCAAGGACAAAAGTGCAGTGGAATCATCTGAATACAGCTCCTCCTCCCCCAACTGAAATATTGAAATAGAGTCTTTGGTGGTGTGGCCCAGATCTCTGTTTTTTTTTTTTTTTTTTTTTTTTTAACTCCCCGAGTGAATTAAGGTGCAGCCAGGATTGGGAACCACTGGTGTGCGCAGTTTAATAATCTTCCTAATGCATGGTTCTGATTAGGCAGTTCATATATTTTCAGTGGCAACTTTGACTTACTTATCTTGCTTTTGAGTTAGGTAGACTTCTCACCTTGGCATTCAAATATCTATACTGTGTCTTTGAGCTTTACAGTCTTATTTTCTAATGTCCCACATAAAGTACTTGACAGTTCAGAGAGTTGGAACCTTTGCCCAAGTGTCTGCTTTTGGAATTTGCCCAGGCTGTTCTTCCACCTTTCTCCCATATGTACTTTTTGAAATCCTGCAAACCTTTTAAAGACAATCCAAGATGCACCTTTTTCTGTAGTGCCTTTCTTGATCTCTGGATCCTGATAAGATTTTTGTTTCTTCCGTTGAACCTCCTTAGTGCACTGGACCTCTCATAGCATGCATTTCACCTTGTGTTATAATTTGATTTTTAACTTAGGTTCCCAACAAGACTTTACATTTCCTTACTATTGACTTTCTCCCTGAGAACTCATCAACCCATACATCAATCTTCATCCTAGACTAGCTCCTTCTCTAAGGAGGCATCACACAATCCTTGACCTTTTCCTAGGTTTCTACAGAGAGTACTCTGACCTTACTTTCTATACCTTCTTTCTATCAGTTACTTGTCATTCACCTGAAGTCTGACTTGCTTCTCCAGTACTCATGGGAGTCTCTTCTCTTTTGTGCTTTCCTGGCCACTCCTCCACCTCCCCGCACCCCCTCCATCTCCCTCCTACTGCACTTGTATGGATTCACTGAGTTTCATCCTAGATGATGTAACCTTTCCACATTTCTCTGTCACAGCAGATCACTTGCTGTGTAAAATTATTTTTTTTACTATAATTTTAACAGATTATTTTTACTGTGAACATTTCTTTTTCTTTAATGCTGCAGATAGTAGGTGCTCAAAAATATCGGTTATTGAGCCAATAACTAACATGTGCCCCAGTCAACAGAGGTGTACCTCTCCCATTTCCTTAAATGATGGCAGACTTAGAATCATTTAGAAAAGTCTATAAACTAAAACAAAAAAAGAAAAAAGAAAGATAAAACATGGAACATTCAATGATAATAAATGTATATATTCTTTCTTATTTAGAAGAATGTGATAAAGACAATACTGAGAAAGCTATAACTCAAGCTACCAACAGCCACTTCACACGTGAAGAGATGCAAGACCAGTCCATTTGGGGAAATCCTGCAGATGGTGAACTCATCAGAAGTAAGTATTTTAAAAGAAAATTTGTAATTTGAGTATTCGAGTGATTTGGGTATCGTATGCTCTCAGTTAATTGTCCCATATAATTCTGCTGCAAATTTACAAATAAGTAGAATTTATCAGAAAGTGTTTTCATTAGTATTTGAAATTATAGAGCTAAAACTAGGATGCAAATAATGTCTGGTTAGCTTTCGTCCATTCTTTAGGAAGCGAGAATTGTCCTGTAAATTTTGGACTCTGTTCTCAGAGAGATTTAGTTAAAACTTAGTATCTTCTTGGGCAGCAATTAAGTGGAAGTCAGGCTACTCTAAGTATATGTGGACTGTGATAGTAAAGAAGAGAAAAATGGAGCTAAAGGGCAACAAGTAGGATCTTGATAATGCTATTGTGGTCCCTGTTCTTCTAGCCAAATGATTCCAAACTCTTTTTCACAATTAACATTTTGTCACTATTTGTTTGTTTGTTTGTTTTATACTCTCCTTCTTTCTAAAATTGCTCTGTAGAATATTTACAAAAGCTTTGGTGTATTTTTGTTTTACTCTAGCAATGCCCTGAAACACTATTTTATCTTTTGGATGCTGTTCTGAATTCTGATTCCATGTCAGGTTCTGCTCTCGACCTTCCAGAGCTTATGTTCTTGTCACGATGAATTTGCTACATAGTGAGTTATCTATGTAGCCAACATGTAGGTGAAAAGGCCACACTTGGAAGAACATAAAAATAAATCTTTTGAAATTCTCATTCATGGCAACTAAATTACCATTTCTCGTTCTCTGTTTTCCTAGAGCAGACAGAGAAAAATTCATTTCTAGGAATCAAGTGTGGTTGTTGGTGTTTTTAATTTATTTCTTTAGGACAACTTTATAATAAAAGACCCTTTCTTTGTGTTACATGTACTTTAGAACTTGGAACATTCCTTACCTCTCTAGAATGCCCGGTATCTGACCATAACTGAAAACCAAACAGATAGAGCAGGAAGAAAACAAGAGGATAAAGACCAACTTAGTAGAAAATAAACAATAATGATAAAAACACTATTGAAGGAAATTTCCTGTTTTAAACAAATGCTCCAACAATGAATGTTTTAGTTTAATTTTAGAACCATTTTGGTTTTTGTACACTTTGGTCTTGGAGAAGGGAGTAGGAAGGAAGGAAATGAGACTCAGAAATTAGTGAGGAGCAGGATTTATATAGCCTTCTCCTAGAATTGAATAAACATTATTTCAAGTAAACAGTTATCCCAAAATATATATTTGTTGTCTTTTATCTAATGTTGACTCTGCTGTTGTGAGGCTTACGGTTTTGTGAGGTGTGGGCATATTTTATCTGTGATTTCCTAGCACCCAGAGAGTTAGTGAGTGCTAGAAAAGGTCTTAGAGGCAAGTTTACCTTCACTTGTTGGGAAGCATGATTGTTTACATAGATATATTTTTTCATAATAACAGAATTTTACATGTGTGTGTGTTTCATTTAATTGATTTATTTCACTTAAATATTTTTCCTTTCCCAAGGCTTGCACTAGGAACGTGGATAAGATCTCTTAGAACGAAAAACAACAAACCCTGTTGCATAAGGATATGGAAAGTCATGTTAATATGTTAAATTTGTGCTATTTGGTGAAGCTCATTTTAGTCAAAGAATTCATACTGCTATAAAAAAAATGGATTTAAAAGGAATTACTCTCTCTATTGTCTATACTGGCTCAGTGACTAGTGATTGAAAATATTACAAATTGCATGACTTTATTGAGATAATGATGCAACCTGTGCCATGGGACATGGGAGCATTTGGGAACAACTTTCTAGTTTCCTACTACTATGCACTGAAGGAATGCACAGAGAGAGAGAGAGAGATTTACAGCCCCCTCTGAGAGTGCTGCTAGGAAAACTGACAGACGAATGGATATACAAAAGCTAATGGCGAAAGACAGTAATGCCACTCCTGCCAAAAGCATAAGCTGGCAAGTATTTCTGAATATTTGTGGGTGACATCTGATCCTGAACTCTGATTAGAAATTTCAAAAATTCTATTTTTGTTATTTTTCTGGTCACACTTTTCTGGACAAAAGCTACTTATTTGGATCTACAGAAAAAAAGTTGATATCTGGATTTGAAGAAGTAGAGCATTTTATATCATCTTTATAACTGTCTCCATTCTGGACAGCATTTCAAAGTTTAGATTCTGCTATTCCAACTCCCTGATACTAAACTCTGTATAGCTGCCTGATATTTCTCTTTGGTCTCCATAAAGTTGTTGGCAGCTCTGCATAATTTAATGTCTGTCTCTCTTAACCTTGAAGTTAGGGAGATGTGTGTTTTCCTCTTTTTCCTCTTGCTTCAGCATCAAGCCCATTTTGGGGGGCACCGTAAATCTTTTGTAATAACAATAGGCCTCGGAATAGGGAGACTCTGGCTCAGAGCTCCATGGGGGAGGAGGAGAGCATCTGTGGTGAGTCAGGACTGGGCTGGCTCCTGATCCAGGAGTGCTGTGTGGCTCCCTGAGCACCGTGGAAGAGGCAGACAGCTGGCTCTCATGGAATTGATGTTACTCTTCCCACCGTACTGCGAGGTTGGCTGGATGGAGGGATTATCAGAAAAATGAGGCTGGCTGGGGTGTGGGAACATTCTCGAATGCACAACCCACTCTTTTTTCCAAGCTTCCATGGGATGGCTCAGCTGCATAGCAAGAAGTGGAGGAGGGTGACTCTGTTAAACAGGACTTCTTTTTCTTTATCTGTTCTTGGGAGTGGTTAGTGAGGGCTGGCAGCTCACATCTGCATTGTCCTGGATGCCTGCTGCCTTCTGGGTCGGACATTTAAAGTGTAATTTATAGGGGACCGTTAGCTGTCAGTGTGATGAGGCTGTTTTTACTTTGCTGAGAATAACTGAGCTCTGGAAAGTGCAGGGAGTGGCCGCTTTGGAAATTGTATTCTAATTAAAGGGTGTATTCTCGGGCCTCATAAACGAGATCCAAGCTGAGAATAATTTCCAAATTATTCTGTGAACTCTCACCCTGACTCCAGTAGACCACCCACTGGTGGCTCACGCTTCACACCCCGTGCAGAAGTTTGCGCTTTTGTCTGCTTGCCTGGTCCTTCTAGAAAACATTGCAGGTGGCAGACCTAGGGTACTGTGGTCTTTCAGGACTTGGGTTTCCCTTGAGTTGCTAACTTAGTAGAGAGAATTCTTTTTGGAAGTAATAAATAAAAGAGAAGAAATCCGTATGGAATCAAACATTTAGAATAAATAGGCTGTGCACAATCTGGTCAGGGAATGGGCACTGTGATTCTCTTTCTTATGAAATTTAAATTTAAAAAGATGATTCCAGCCACTTACGTTTGTAAAAAAAAAAAATCTAAATCAAATTCGTAAAGAAATAAAAACAATGGAGGTTTTGTAAGGAAATTTTATAATTGGAAAGTGCCTTTATTTTATGATTTTTTAAAATCCTCTTTACAATCTAAAAGGCTTTTATATTCTGATAAAATATTTGAGTGTATAATTTAATTTCTGGAATGGGGCTTAAATTTTGGAGTATATAAGAGTGTCTTTATGAGAGCACCAGCGAAGACTGGTTTTTCCCCTTGAATTAGCGTATATGGTATAGTATATAATTTGGAGCTCTGCCTTGTTTTAATAATCACTATGTCTCTGACTTAGTAAAATAAATGTTGCAGCTAAGTGACATCCTCAATTAATATTAATTTTTCTATTTAACCCATGATATGCATAAACTGATAATGGGCAATAGACAACATTTCATGTTTTAATTAGACTAGAAAAGGAAAAGAAGTAACATTTTGATCTCAGTCTTCAAGGGGATTTCTAAGGTAGAAAGGAACGTGTGTGTGTATGTGTGTTCATTCCTGTACTTACATTCAGTCATGTGTAATATTTTCTTTTAATTTAGGTCACATTTTACTCTCCCAATTATTTCCTATAGTGAGCTTACATTTTTCTTTGTTCCTCTTTATAAAATGCCTCAGGTCTCTATCTCAGATTTTTCTAGGTCTTTCTGAAAATTCTTATTACTTAACTTTATTCTTGGACATTGCTTTTACATCAACGTCTTCTAATTCTAAATGCCATTAGTTAACTCCAGAAATTTTTCTTAGCTTCTCTTCTGAAATAAATTTCCCATTAAGTTAAACTATTTTGCTCAGCTAATTCTCTCCTTTGTGATTTTGTAGAATTCCCATGATCTGAAGCAAAGTTAGAATGCTCTACTTAAATGTAATCCCCCATTCTATTTAACCCATTTATTCATTTTGAAGAGTTTTTAGCTCCCACAATAGTAAGCACTTAATTGGCAGTAGAATGCAAGCCCTTCTCTGATGCATGCTTGCCCACCCTTGTGGAGCTGCAGCATCACGCCATTTCTCTCATTCTACTACTTGAAGCCTTCCTTTTGGCATCATCTGAATTTCCTCTCAACATTAACAGGCTCTGTCATTAGGAACTCTATTATTTCTTTTCCTAGCCTTTGTCAACTTACCTCTGATCACCCCTTAATGAAGGCCACCATTTCATCACTTTAGGGAATGCCTCCTTTATGTAAAACACTGAAAGAACAGGAGATATTCAGGTGTGCTATTTATATAATTAGAACATTGCTTACTTTGATGGTAAGGAAAGACTGTCGAGAGGTCTGGATTTAAATTTCTTTCAGGGCTGTCCTATTTAACGCATGTTTCAGTAAGTATTATTTGATTTTCTTTCGAATTTACTTTGTTTAAAAAGAGGCCATAAACAAGCCCCCAGATAAGCACCACCCAGTTAAGACTAGGGGGCATAGCTTTCACGCTGTGTTACATCTAGGATTTTTTTTTCCTTAATATTTCATGCTCATTTCATGTTTGGGAGCATGTACTGGGAGCAAGTCCTTCTGACCTTTGCCTTGCTCAGTGTCTTTTCCTCTCCTGTTTGGCTCCCAGAAGAATTCTCTGTTTTTCCATATGCTAACCAAATGGTTATGTGACTGTAGTCAGATGCTTTGATTATCGT